AAAATCAAGAATTTTATGTTGAATGTTTTGGGTTTGAGACTGTTATATGTCTTATTTGAGTTTTGGCAGGTCGTACTATGTATCATTATTTTTGAGTAGGAAAAATATACCACTTTAGGTGGTCAGTAGCCATAGCAAATGTGCTTAAAAATTAACTTATTAGAATTTTGCCATTACATTAATCTTTCATCACCTTTTTTCTTTTGCAAGCTGAGTTCTGCAATTATATCTAAAATTATTTAGTAACAATTAAGATGCCTGTGAAATCTCCCCACTAGCCATCATCTTTAAAGGCAAAATCATAATTCTGAGTTTTACAATACAATAAATTGTATTATTTGGACACTGATGGTTGGTTCATCTTATAGTTGTTTCTTTTTTTTATTTTTTATTATTTTTTTATTTTTTGACAGGCAGAGTGGACAGTGACAGAGAGACAGACAGAGAGAAAGGTCTTCTTTTACCGTTGGTCCACCCTCCAATGGCCACCACCGCTGGCGCGCTGTGGCCGGCGCACCATGTTGATCCGATGGCAGGAGCTGGGTGCTTCTCCTGGTCTCCCATGAGGTGCAGGGCCCAAGCATTTGGGCCATCCTCCACTGCACTCCCTGGCCACAGCAGAGAGCTGGCCTGGAAGAGGGGCAACTGGGACAGAATCCGGCGCCCCGACCGGGACTAGAACCTGGTGTGCTGGCGCCGCAAGGTGGAGGATTAGCCTATTGAGCCGCGGCGCCGGCCTTATAGTTGTTTCTGACTTTTGCTTTTATTAGTACCTCCTGTGTCCTCTTGGGGTATTTCACTGCTTTTTAGTGAAAGAGCATGTAACTAAGCTTGATCAGTCTCGCTGATTGCTAGTATTTCTGTGAAAAGTTTGATAGAGGAAGTTGAAATATATGAACAGGTTATTATCTATGCGTTTCAGTCAGGTTATCCTTTGTCCCATTGATATGGATTGAATTTGAGAGCTAATGAGAGCAGTTTTGAAATTTTTTTCTGTAGTCTTTTGTCTTATAGAAAAATCCTACATACTTATAAAAATTAATCTTTTTTGTTTTTGACAGGCAGATTTAGGCAGTGAGAGAGAGAGAGACAGAGAGAAAGGTCTTCCTTCCATTGGTTCATCCCCCAAATGGCTGCTACAGCCGGCACGCTGCACTGATCCAAAGCCAGGAGCCAGGTGCTTCCTTCTGGTCTCCCATGCAGGTGCAGGGCCCAAGCACTTGGGCCATCCTCCACTGCCTTCCCGGGCCACAGCAGAGAGCTGGACTGGAAGAGGAGCAACTGGGACAGGACTGGCGCCCCAGCCGGGACTAGAACCCGTGGTGCCGGCACCACAGGCGGAAGATTGGCCAAGTGAGCTGCGGCGCTGGCCATAAAAATAAATCTTGAGGGGTTAAGCTTTTGGTGCAGCAATTAAGACACATGCATACTATACTGGAGTGTCTGTGTTTGAGTCCCTGTTCTGTATCTATTCTAGCTTCCTGCTAATGTGCACCATGGAAGGCAGCAGGTGATGGCTCAAGTACTTACATCCCTGCCACCCACATGAGAGACCTAGATTGAGTTCCAGCCTGCTGGCTTCAGTGTAGCCCAGCCTAGCCCAGCCCAGCCCTGGCTACTGCAGGCATCTGGGGAGTGAACTGGAGGATGGATGAACAACATGAACCACCTACTTAACATGCCTTTAGTTGGAAGCTCAAAGATAACTTGCTATAGACATATGTAGACAAATGGTTCTGCTTAACATAAGACATTAGGTTATCGGGTCTTCAAATTGTATCAGTTCATATAGAAGTATGAACATAACAGATTACAAGTTATTCTCAGGCACACTGCTTTATGCAGTGATGAGGAAAACGTAGATTTCTTCCTAAGAACATCTTTATGTATAGAACATTGAATTTGAAATGATCATAGAGGATACACAGTTTAAAAACATATCATCATGACCTGCCTACCATAAGACCTAACTAGAATAGTTATTTATATTCTTGGCTTCTTTTAAATAAATTGCCAGATGTTGGGAAAATACTTACAGGGAATGTTTTTATTAATTATATACATTAAGTACATTAAGTCACATTCTGGATTCTTGGTCTATTCTGCTTAATTTATTACCCTTTTTACATTTTTACATAACTTTTTAAAGATTTATTTTACTTGAAAGTCAGAGTTACACAGAGAAGGAGAGGCAGAGAGAGAGAGGTCTTCCATCTGCTGGTTCACTTCCCAATTGGCCGCAATGGCTAGAGCTGCCGATTCGAAGCCCAGAGCCAGGAGCTTCTTCCGGGTCTCCCACGCAGGTGCAGGGACCCAGGGGCTTGGGCCATCTTAAACTACTTTCCCAGGCCATAGCAGAGAGCTAGATCAGAAGTGGAGCAGCCGGGATTTGAACTGGTACCCTCATGGGCTGCTGGCACTGCAGGCGGTGGCTTTACCCCCTACGCCACAGCGCTGGCCACAAATAATTTTAATTGAAGTTTAGAATAATGTTCTTGAAATTTTTCAGTAATCTTCAGAAATACGGTCTGAACTTACAGACCAAAACATTGGAGTTAAGAGCTTTGTTTCAGTTCATCTTTAACTCAACATTCAACTAAATATGATGGATTTTTTTTCCTCTAGTGATAATTGCCTTTTTTGACCAATATGAATGAATATTTTAAATTTAACTGAACTAAAGTACTTTAGAAAATACAAATTTCTAAGACATGGTGGTTATAGGATTTATTTTTAAAAGCAATCATTTAGTAGAGAAATAAAAGCACTTTTCCTTTAGTGAAGCAAAGTTCTGAATTCTAAAATTGAAAGAGATATTTGGTTGAAGTTGTATGTCTTGTGTAAGTTTATTAGATACACATATGAATATGTGTATATTAATAATTCTTTGCTGTATGCTTAGCCCCCTCCTGTAAAAGTTCTTAAAGGAATGTGTAAAAACATGTTTAGAATAAAATATTTGAAGATATTTATTATAATTAATAGGTATCCTTTGAAGACTGAAAATTAAACATGAACTCTCTTTAATTTTATTGAGCCCAAACTTTTGGATTGCTCCACTCTCCTCTCGAACTGCCACTTGAACTTGAAACTTAGAGTTTCTGAGAAATCTTTGAAGAAGATTTGGTGCAAGATATTTGAGTACAAGATTTTCTGATCATGCTTTGCAGTGTCTTATTTAGAAGACAGAACAGAGAGAAAGTTTTAAAATATATTCTGTGAATATATTTTAAAATAAAGTTTAAGATATATTCTGTGAATACTTGAAGTGATTTTTTAACTGATAGATTACAAACCTCTTTAGTCAAAGTAGTTTTTATTGATTTTTTAAACACCTGAACTAAAAGTGTATTATACTACTTTGCCCATCATGATTGTGGACTTCAGTTGCTACACAATTAAATTCCTTATATAGTTGTTGAAATTGTACTGGCTCTGTAAAATATGCTGAAGATTGTCTTTCAACGTTATGTAGGAAAAATATTTATTAAATACATACTTATAAAATAAGCAAAGATGGTCTATCAAATGTGGTTTATTTGATCTTTAGGGTGAGTGGATTACACATTGGTACACATTGGAAATAAACTTTCAGGCAAAATCTTGAAGAACTGTATTTTAAATAACAGCCCTTACTTTTACAGCTATCAACAAATTATATATAAATGTTGGTGGTACCAGAGCATTGAAAATAAAACTTGTTTGTGATAAACTTCATCCTTGGTTCTCTATCCCAAAATGTAACTGAATGATAATAAAGTGCTATTCATCTGCAGGTGCATTGCTTCTACTTAGTTAAAAGACGGTTGAAAGGACAGGAATTAGTAGCATGTTGTATTAGCCTTTTGTAGTGTATTTTGTCCTAAGCATCTTAATTTCCCTGTTTTGAATGCTAAGTAGCAAGGGTCTTGGTTTAGAAGTAATACCCATCATGCATGTAAACGGTATGAAAGAGCTGCTTAGTAAGTTAACACAAAGTGTTCTTGTGTCAGTCCTTGTGGAAATAGATACAATACAAACATTACAGCTGAACTCACGGCAAACTCCATTAAGTAAAAACCTGGCCTCATTGTTCAGGAAAAAGTTTGAATAGAATGCAAGCTCATTTTGTTGAATGTAATGTCAGGCTTTTAGGGACTGTATTGAGGGATAAGGTTTTGTTAAGTTGAGACCAATTCATTAAGTTTTATTGCCTGGTGAGAAGCAGTAATACTTTATTGTAAGACTTCATCAAATATTCATGGTTAAAGAGAAGTAGTAAATGTATTCAATCAAGTGGTCTTTTGGGGTTTTGAAAAGGATTATGAAGTCTGCTCAGCTGATAGTTTTAACATTCATCAAGGTTGTTTAACAAGGGTAATTTTAATCTCTGAGTTTAATTTTGTTGCCCAGTCTTTTTTTTACTGCCACAAATTCAGGTCTGTAAAAATTGTGTCAGATTATAGGGATGAGTGGATACTATATCCATTTATATAATTTGTGTATTTCCTAAATTGGTATATATTTTTAAAATTATCGTCTTAGTTGTGAATTTGGCATGAGAGTTGTGACCTACTTTTTCATTATGAGATTGCTATTCATTTGGTCAGGCTGTAGCCTTAACCTCACTGTTGTTGGTGATCTTTTCATGTCTTGGATAATATGATCTCTTTGATACATATAAAATAAGCAACCAGTTCCAGTTATGAATGGATATAGTCAGCATTTTTTCTATATGGTGTCGGAAATTTCAGTAGCATTGCCTTTGTTTTTGCCCTTGGTATTAGATTACCTGCCTCTTGTAATTTATGCTTATGTTATAATTAAGCTCATCTTAAATTTGTGTGACAGTAGTTTGTACATAGGAAACTCATTCTTTTCCAGTTCATTACATGTTTACTACTTTGTCAACTGAAGTTTTAAAATGTTTGTTGGTTTTGTCCTTTTCAAAGAAATTAAGCTAAAAGTCAAATTTGCTGTTAATTTTTTTTTGGGGGGGTCCCTTATCTTCCATTTCTTAGGCGGATGATGTTGAGGGCAAAATTAGACAAATCATTCCACCTGGATTTTGCACAAACACGAATGATTTTCTTTCTTTGCTGGAAAAAGAAGTTGATTTCAAGCCATTTGGAACCTTACTTCATACATACTCAGTTCTCAGTCCCACAGGAGGAGAAAACTTCACATTTCAGATATATAAGGTAAAGATAAAGTATTTCTGGGGTAAAGTTACTCATTTGTCTGCAACTTATATGCAGTTTTGTTATTTTTATTGGTTTTTCTAATTTCAGGAAACAAGCTTTTATCATCATTAAAAACATCTATTTTGTGTGTGTATCTGTGTGTCTGTATGTACACATTTAATCTGAGACTTCTAAACATTTTCCCACAGGATAGTTTTGTGTCTTGCAGACTTACACTTACCTCTGTGATGAGTTTCACCTGACTTTTCCTGGCTTTTTCCCTAGGCTGACATGACATGTACAGGCTTTCGAGAATATCATGAAAGGCTTCAGACCTTTTTGATGTGGTTTATTGAAACTGCTAGCTTTATTGACGTGGATGATGAAAGATGGCACTACTTTCTAGTGTAAGTACAGTTCTAAAGCAACAGTAGACCTTATTACCTCCACAAAGCCAGCTTTTTAATTGTGGCAGCCCAATTATTGGGACAGTATAATGATATTTTTCCCAGGAAAGAAAAACCATTGTTTATGAGGCTTGAGTTTTCCTTCATTATGCTTTCGGAGACCTTGAGAATAGAACTGAATTAAATGCTGTTGTCCGTTAGGGCCCTGAATGTAGGCTTAAACAGTAAAATGAGCTTTGCCTGTGTTTTCTTTTACTTGCCACCTATTCATCTTTATAATAGGCAAGTGCACTGAAGTGATGTAAAGAGGTCTGATTTATCCAAGTTGCTGCACACCAATTAAGTGAATTGTACATTCAGGACATAGCAGGTGTACCCATTGGGCCCTCACAGAGTAGCTTGCTGACACTGAAAATTCAGTCAGAGAATGGAAAAGAAAATGGACACTGCATGGGAGCGCGACTGTAATTGACCTGCTTGGCTTTCTGTTTTATCTGCAGATTTGAGAAGTATAATAAGGATGGAGCTACGCTCTTTGCGACCGTAGGCTACATGACAGTCTATAATTACTATGTGTACCCAGACAAAACCCGGCCACGTGTAAGGTAATTGGCAGTATAACACGTGCCTTGTCTTTTATTTCAGAAGAAGGAACTGCTGAAGTTTCCAATACTTGTTAAAATAGTGTTGATTTGTTTAAAAAATCACCATTATTCATTGGCTATGTACTGATTTATTTCATTGTTCCCTTTGAAACTGTGGAAAAGTAAACCTATTTTGAGTGTCTCAATAATTTTTGTGTTTCTTGAAGGTTGAATTAAAAAAATCACAGACTTTAAAGTGCTCATAATACTACAGTGATTTGCAATTTTTAAACTGGGTATGTTGTGATATTTTAATTTTAAAATAATTTCTTTACCATAGTCAGATGCTGATATTGACTCCATTTCAAGGTCAAGGCCACGGTGCTCAACTTCTTGAAACAGTTCATAGATACTACATTGCGTCTCCTTCAGTTCTTGATATTACAGGTATGTAAAACTTGTTTTGTTACTGAAAGAATGAGACTTTCTAAACAATATCTTCTTTACTGACTTTGTTTTTATCAGAAGTAACTATTCAGTTTTAAAGAGCAACATTCTCCTACAGCTCTTTAAGACCTGTCTAAAAATGACTTAAAATTACATTTTAGATCATATGCCTTTGTGAATAGATTGTTTTTGTGAAGTGTTTAATTGAACAGAATTTTTTAAAGGTTTATTTATTTATTTGAAAGGCAGAATTAGAGAGGGAGAGAGAGAAATCTTCCATCTGCTGGTTCACTCCCCAGATGGTCACAGTGGCTGATCTGAAGCCAGGAGCCAGGAGCTTCATTTGGGTCTCTCCTGTGGGTGCAGGAGCCTAAGCACTCAGGCCATCTGCTGCTGCTTTCCATGGTATATTAACAAGGAGCTGGATGGGAAGTGGAGTGGCAGCTTTACCCAATAAACCACAGTGCCAGTCTCAAGTGAACAAATGTTGGTCAGGCATAAATCCATTGCAGATATGGTATAACTTACTTTTTCAGTCTATTTTGACAGTTACATCTTCCATTATGGATTAGTTATAGAAGTAGTTTTATGAATAGAATGTTGAGAAGAAGGAAGGAGACTGCTCTTTAGAAAAAAGCGGCATCTTTTTTTTTTTTTTGGACAGGCAGAGTGGACAGTGAGAGAGAGACAGAGAGAAAGGTCTTCCTTTGCCGTTGGTTCACCCTCCAATGGCCGCCGCGGCCGGCGCACCGTGCTGATCCGATGGCAGGAGCCAGGTACTTATCCTGGTCTCCCATGGGGTACAGGGCCCAAGCACTTGGGCCATCCTCCACTGCACTCCCTGGCCACAGCAGAGAGCTGGCCTGGAAGAGGGGCAACCGGGACAGAATCCGGTGCCCCGACCGGGACTAGAACCCGGTGTGCCGGCGCCGCAAGGCGGAGGATTAGCCTAGTGAGCCGCGGCGCCGGCCCAAGCATCTTTAAGAAGTAGAATTACAGATAATATTACATGGCAACCACTGAATTACTGTATAAGTCCTCAGCCCTACTCAAAATGTTCCAAAATCTGAAACATCTTGAGGACTACTTCACACTTTAAAAGTTACAGATTTTTCAGGGGCCAGCCTTGTGGCACAGCATGTAAGGCCACTGCCTGCAGTGCCAGCATCCCATATGGGCACTGGTTCAAGTCCTGGTTGCTCTACTTCTGATCCAGCTCTCTGCTATGCTCTGGGAAAGCAGTAGAAGATAGGCCAAATCCTTGGGCCCCTGCACCCACGTGGGAGACCCGGAAGAAGCTCCTGGCTTTGGATCGACCCAGCTCTAGCCATTGCGGCCAAGTGAACCAGCAAATAGAAGACCTCTCTCTCTCTCTCTCTCTCTGCCTCTCCCTCTGCCTCTGCCTCTGCTTCTGCCTCTCTGTAACTCTGCCTTTCATATAAATAAATCTGAAAAAAAAAAAAAAAAAAAAAGTTTCAGATTTTTCAAACTAAGGATGCTTAGCTGGTAAAGCCAATGCAAATATTCCAAGATCCAAAAAACTCTGAAACCTGAAACACTTATGGTCCTAAGCATTTTGGATCAGCAATACTCAGCCTGTACAGATATTCTCATCTAAATTAGGTAGCAAAACTTGCAAATTCTTTGAGTTTGAATACATCTTTTATTTTTTAAATTGCAGTATTTAACATGTACCAAAATGCCAGCTTGTTTTAAAAAATGCTGGTTTTGAATTTTATTTAATCAGTTTGTTGTTTAAAGGCCTATACATATAACACACACAAACCAAACTCAAAATAACCAAATTCTCAACTAGCAAATATAAAAAGACTGGTGGCAGATTTTCAGTTTCCTTATTTTTCTTTCAGTATAGTGGTTTTGCTTGACCACTGTAAATAAAGTTTGTCCAAAATAGTGAACTGACCCTGTAGGATAGCTAAATAAACTAGAGGAAAGCATGCTGTTTTTAATAGTGAGCTCCACACTTACAGAATTGAATTATCTTTTTATCTGACTTTTCTACTACGTTAAATGAGCTAAAAATAAAAAAAAGCTTGAACAATATAAAGAAGTAATTATGAAACTTAGTTTATATCAGGAATTATAAATTGCTTAAATGATACCTCCACTAGCTTAGTAACTTGCAAAACTATAGAAACAATATAAACTATACCATTTTTTTAGGCTTATCTGAACATTGTTTAGTCTCCACTCACAGAGCTTGGACTTGGTGCTACACGAAGGGGCATTTTTGGGGATTTTAATCTGGAGTTCACATAAGTAGTCTTTGTCTACTCTAGTGGGTAATGTGCCAGCAGGGGTTGTTTCTCTGAAGCCTCTTAACCACTTTTCTTCTGTCTACTCCAACCAATAAAGTCCTTCATACTTAGCACCAATTAGCAGATAAAGAATTTTATTTCTTAAATCTCAGTGAAGAGTCATCAATAATGGTAGCCTTTGTTCATTGCTATTATTCATTAGAAACTGAAGTCTCTTTAAAGAAAAAAGGCTAAACATGCAAAAGGACTTCTGAATTTGACAACTAGTTTCAGCCTTTATTTTCAGCATTAACATTTCTCAGCATTATAAAATATTAAAAATGCCTTATCAGCTTTCTCATTAAGATACTTCTTTGGATTTCCATACCCAGTCTTTAAAATATAAAACCTTGCAGTTTCCCAGTCTAGTCATGTTGGTTGCCTTTGTCTCTGTTTGTTTGTTATCTTGTATACTTTTAACTTTGCACAACTTTAACAGGCTCTGGATCTCCCTTTGCAATCCAAGAAATTATGTATATTGAGATGGCCTTTTGCTTATTTGACAAATAGCCAGATAGAGTAATAATTAAACTTAACATTGGTGGCCTAAGTTGTATTTTACTTCCAATGGATAGGTGTTTGTGGTGTATTTGCCACCCATTTTTCTTTTTTTAGCACTCAATTTTAGGTAGAATACAGGAAGACAGTTCATTACATTATGTACTATCTTCTTTGTGAGGATTTCAGCCTCTTAAGATACCATATTTAAATACATCTCAGTGTGTAACTTTGTAAGTAGAATCAATGACTAGTTTGCCTCCATGTGGAAAATATCCTCACCTGTCCACTCAAGAGTTGGAATCAGACTCAGAAAGTACAGTGAAAGTGAAACTTTATTACCAGTGTTGCAAGATCAGGTATCTGTTGAGCATGCACACCTGCAATTTATATCCTAGCACTCAAGTCCCTCCCCTGGTTCCTCATTGGCTGAGTACTGTGAAGTATACAATCTTCCCAGATGTCACCTAAGTTACATAGTAAGCTTCCTCCTTCCTTCTCTGTGAGTTGGCTACTCCATAACATCCTATTTTGCTTAGTGAGTTTTGCTACAAATTTTTCATTCTGTGTTTAAAATGAACCATTTTCTTACATTCCAGAATTCTGAAATGCTGCATTTGGCAATAGAAATTAATCCTGGGCTAGCATATATGGGTGTGTAGCTAGAAAGACAGACAGACAGAATGTGTATGTGTCTATGTGTGTAGATAAAATATATATCAGTATTTACCAGTGGTATATAAACTACTCAGTATCTTTGTCTTTTAAATTTCCCTTATTCTGGAACTTGAACTGGCGCCCTTACGGGATGCCAGCATTGGAGGTAGCAGCTTAACCCATTACACCACAATGCCCAGCTCCAGGCCATATTTCTTTCTTTTTTTTTTTTTTCTTTTTTTTTTTTTTTTTTAAGATTTATTTATTCATTTGAAAGTCAGAGTTACAGAGAGAGAGGAGAGGCAGAGAGAGAGAGACATCTTCCATCTGCTGGTCAGGACTTGAAGCTGGGCATTGAACCCATATACAGGTTTCTTAGTAAACAGGTAAACACTCACTTGTTTTTTATCTTCTGTTCTGTACTCTTGCTGAGCTTGTTCATTAGTTGTAGTTTTTTGGCTAGGGTTTTCTTTGTACGGAACCATGTTGTCTACAAATAAAGATATTTTTACTTCTTCCTTTGTAGTCATATGCATTTTATTTTGTTTCCTTGCTTGATTGCATTGTTGAGGTCCTCCAATACAATGCTGACTAGAAATGGTGAGAGCATATACCGTGTCTTGCTCCCAATCTTATAGTGAAAGCAGGTAGTCTTTAACTATTTAGATTGTGTTAACTGTTGGGTTTTTTTTTGGTAGATGACCATTATCAAATTGAGAAAATTCACTTTTACTCCTTTGATGTGGTGTTGGATTTTGTTAGATGCTGTTTTCTGCATCTATTGGATGATCATGTAGTTTTTCTCATTCTTTTAATGTGCTATATTATATTAATTGGGTTTTTTGAATGTTTAATCAGCATTGCATTTCTTTTTTTTCTTTTTCTTTTTTTTTTTTTTTGAAAAATTTTTTTAACTTTTATTTAATGAATATAAATTTCCAAAGTACGACTTATGGATTACAATGGCTTCCCCCCCATACCATCCCTCCCACCCACAACCCTCCCCTTTCCCACTCCCTGTCCTCTTCCATTCACATCAAGATTCATTTTCGATTATCTTAATATACAGAAGATCAGCTTAGTATACATTAAGTAAGGATTTCAACAGTTTGCTCCCACACAGAAACATAAAGTGAAAAATAATAGATGATTTTTTTTTAAATGATGATGAAATCAGATCAGACCTATTGTCATGTTTAATCCCAGTGAGAGTCAAGTTGGGAATTGATAATTTCTTTTTTTTTTTTTTTTTACAGAAGATCAGTTTAGTATGCATTAAGTAAAGATTTCAATAGTTTGCACCCCCATAGAAACACAAAGTGAAATATATTGTTTGAGTACTCATTATAGCATTAAACTTCAATGCACAGCACATTAAGGACAGAGATCCTACATGAGGAGTAAGTGCACAGTGACTCCTGTTGTTGACTTTACCAATTGACACTCCTGTCTATGGCATCAGTAATCTCCCTATGCTCCAGTCATGAGTTTCCAAGGCTATGGAAGCCCTCTGAGTTCTCCGATTCT